AGAACCACATCCGGCCATAATACATATGGGACTTTACCTTCACCTTTCAGGAGACTGACAGCAAATAGGGGCTTATTCTAAGGTAACAGAAACACAACACTACTTTTTTCAGGTGATTAATGAAAGCATACCTATAAATATTTTTTTAGATTTACCAATCGAGCCTCCCAAATGTTTCACACTGGACCTTTAAGAGAGAAGCAAAAAATTCATGAAAAAAGTAATCATCATCGAAAATCAAATTTCAGTAGTTGCCAATTTTTGTTCTTTTATTCTGTCTTTTCATCTTAAGAACATACACGGCTTTCAAGACAGCTTTTCAGTCCACATGGCACAAAAAACCTCAAGGACACTGAGATCTAAACATCCTTATCCAGAGTCACAGCAGAGGACATCCTCTGTCACTGCTACATAGGCACATCTCCCTCTTTATCAAAGGAGAGTATCGAAGAGCGTTGGAACTGCACTCATGTTTTGGCTTTGGCCCCTTTTGTACTTCCGAACTGAGCATTCATTATGCATAAGCAACAAGAAGGCTGCTAATGAAGATTTCATAATTAATAAAAACTGCGACATCAGCATGTGCATAAAATTACCACGAGGCCACCGTTAGAAGGGGAACCACTAAACTGCACATACTGTTCAGCAAGTACACAAAAACAAATATGGCCTTTATCCGAATAAAATAAACCAATAGACCTTCTAAATATGTAGCAAATGGATGAGGCAAGAAAGAGCTGGGTTAATTGTTAAGCCTGTGTTGGCTGCTTCAGCTACATGTATTGAGGTCAATTGTGTTTGTGCTTTCAAACCAAACTTGAATTTCTAACAACCCACAATGGCAAGATGTGTCTTTGAATAGAGCTCAACGTACAGGATCAAAGATTATTTCCTTGTTTGCAATTACAAACTAGAAAACTAGACACAGATGCACTCTTGCTCGTGCGTGTTACCAGAGTTTTTAGCAAATAGCCTTTGATTGTTTGAGCTTTGTGATTAACCGTGTTTTTCCCTTACTTATTATGTGTATTTGTTGGCCTGGTATGTTGTTGGCCGCATACAATTACACTTTCAGGGATAAATAAAGTTGTATTGGATTGAACTGAATGGATTTAAAGAATCCAGGAACAAAAAAATACTGTTGGTTCTATGCCTAACAGTTATGTTCGCCCCATCCACATTAAAAAACATTTTGTCTTGGCCCATGACCGAACTTTTCACCCAGTTTCACTAAAATCTGTTTTGCAGTTTTTGAGATATTTAATTATTTACGCACATGCAGACAAACAGAGCTGAACACATACATAACCCCTGTGGCAGAAGTAATAACACGACTTTAAAAAAAATAAAAATAAAATTGAATTCCTGTAATGAATACAGATTCCTAAGTAATGGCACGGCTCTGGACTGATCTTGAACTCAAAAAAATATGCATAATAGATGTTCCACCAAAGTGATACATTACTACCTTTCAAGAAATCTGTGAAAGGACATGGCGGCACAGTTCCACACAAATTCAAAGGCTGACCATTGTACGTCACCACATGTAGAAATGTCTAAAGAAACTCTTAATTCAGCTGACAAATCTTGTCTAGCCTCTATACACAGATACTGTGAGAGATGCAGACATTATGCAACAAAAAATTATGACCCTGTTTAATTCTATTCATTTATATGTCAGCAAAAATCCAGTTTCCACCTCAGCGTCTCAATGCATGTCAACGACCGGTGAAAGCAAGGCTTTGATTTGCTATTTTACCACATTTTCAGGGGAGCCGTGAGCAATAATTGCACCAAACAAGAATGTGAAATAAATGAGGAGCTCAGGTAGAATCAGTGGTTACTTGTTTGTCTTCGTTTGTCTTCCTCCTGATTTAAACCTAAAAACACAAAGAGTTCACACTTTGGTCATTAAGAGGATGCTGTGTAAAAGTCTATGTCACCTCAAATGAAGAGACAGGCTCTCTTTCTGTTGTATGAATGGTAGTGTGCATGCATGAGTGTTTTTGTGTTCTGGTTGAGTGATGTCATGCTTACACAGAAGAAGCTTCTTCTCAGTTTGTCTGATGTGTGACAAAGGCTTTGTGTTGCTCTTCCACAGAATATCTTAAAGGGTTGTTGTCACAGTTATTTGATGTGATTTGATTACAATTGTTCTATATTCTTCCTACCAACTGTTACCAATATTATATTATCTGCAGGGGATATAAAGTGTTGCTGGTATTTACTCAAATTCAAATGGAACTAAAATGATCACGCATACAGTTTATTTATACATGGACAGCCCTATGTCTAACTGTGTTGCCTTTATTCAAGGCATATAATGTATGCTTCACTGTAGGGACTTCGGGCTGTATGTTTGATAATCAAATTTCCTCACCTCAGACCTGTAGCCATAACAATAAATCTGTGTTGTTTTTTTAATCTCAGTGACAGATGTTCTGACTGCACCAGGATGGTAAGATATTGCAGTGAGAATCTGAATAAGCTCATTCTCATTTTAATGGAAAGCACACATCAAATATTTCTCTGATACTGACCTGCAACATTTCACTACACATGCAAAACATTGCTGTAGATATGATTTATACTCAGCTCATCCTTTATGCAAGTATAATGCGAATATCAGCTCCTTGTTTCATGACCCATGTGTCACACTGAATATATCTACACGAGTTACTCCGGACTAAGTAGTTAATGAACATGTAAAAATCTGAAATAACTTGAGCAGCTCTCCTCAGTGCATGCCTCTGAATTCGCCTGAGAGGGAAACAACCTGCTCAACAAGCCATATTCATTCAGCATACATGACGCTCTCCACAAAGCAACTTAAGAGGACTGCACTTAGAGGTATGTTTCTCCAAAAAGCCTCTGAAGAGCCTGCCTGCTCCACTTCTCCCCTGACTGACAGCACACTCCAGGGGAGCCACGCCGCAGGACATGCACACTGATCCAGTCTGACACGCCTGACCTTTCCTGGGCCGCACGGCTGGCTCACCGCACACCGCGCCCTGCCCAGCTGAAAAGGCCACACACTGCCATGCAGGCAGTGCCATCGCCGCCCACCTCAGCCTCCCCCCCTTACTGCCATATCGAGAGCCGGCAAGGTGAATGCCTGGGACTGCGCAAAGACAGCCACTCAATCTGAGAGGCTCTCAACCGCAAAACAAGGGTATGCCATCTGAATTTGGCTGTGATATATGATTGGTATTCCCCATTGCACCCTTAAGTGGAGTAAAGATTTTTTTAACAAGTAGATTATTGGGTCTTTATTACAAATTACGTATTTTACTGCGCAAGGGTGTTTTTTCCCTTTGACTTTATACCATTTAAGATATTTTAATTAAGGCATTGCTCACACACAATATGATTATGAAGATGAAATTAGCATAATACTATTAGTCATCTCACTTAGTAAATGGGGCGGGTGCGGTGGCTGGTTAGTGAGGGGGTCGAACATAATGTGTCTGCCAACAGTCCTGGTCGAGGCAGAATTCAGAATAGATGTTGCGGGAGCCCACTAAAGAACAAGGGATGAGAGGACTGTAAGTGCAGAATAGATGCTGCAGCTGTGAAATGAAGAGCTGTCGCATCCAGTGAGCACTTTCCTGAGTAAAGGAAACACTTGGCAAAGCAGAAATAAATCATGTGCTCATGTATTCCAGTGTAGGATTGTATTTTCCAAAAAAACAGAGAAGGAAAATCTCCACAGTTTCAAAAATTCAGGTTATGTGACAAGGCATTCAGTGCTTTTTCTATATGAAGTGTACGTGTGGAAGTATTTTTAATGATATATACAGACTGTTAAGGTGCTATTTTAATAAATAACCTCAACTGTAATGCAATTTAAATAATCAGTGTCTCCAGAAGCACTAACTGCATTGACATCCACACACATATATTGCTCAGGCAGTGACTACTTCATTACAATACACCACCTTAAGTAATTGTACTGCATTTCTATCACATTAGTGCAAGCAATTGCAAATGGCTTTTCTACTGCAATTACAACAGTAAAATATGGGCGAGGTGATGCATTTCCACAGGTTCTACTTTGGTTTTCCTCACAGTTAACTTCTGTGGATCTACCAAACCAAACATCTTGGGATCATCTGAATTCAGTCCTGAGATGAGATTACATCATATTTAAAGACTTTGTGTGGTACAACGGTAGTGCACTAGTTCTGTAAGCCTACGAGCCTCAAAGGGGCCAAAGATGCAGGGAGAGTTGCGTGCACTGGTGTGTGGGTCAGGTTTGAATAAGTAGCACCCCCGCTTTCGACAGCTAAATCAACAGCGATGGATTTACAAAGAAAGCGGGGGGGGGATTAGAACATTTGGACCACAGGCTCACAAACAACATCATTTCTGCTCTGAAAGGGGAGTTCTGTAAAATGGTTCAGTGCTGTTGGTTAATGGCACAGATCGAGAGAATAACAGCACCGACAAAGCTGGGCAGGAACACAAAGGACAAACACAGATAATTTATGTATGGGGGTCAAGCAAAGTAAGAGACTATCTTTAATGTTAATAACTGTTACATTATCCTCAGTCATCTCAGACACTATGTGGATACACCCACCTTCATTAATGTGAGCTAACTGACTGCTGGGTGACTGGCTTGCCTTTTTTATTATTTTTTTAAAATCAGTTTCTTTGTGGGAGCTTGCAGTAAATGCCTAGCCTGTGACTACACACTAATGACAGAAAATAGCTCTATCGGTCCTGACTAAACTACAGTATCTCACTCCAGTGGGAACACAGTGAATACCCATCCCATCCATCACTGCTCGGGACTGAATTAAACATTTAAATTGATCATGGAGCTCCAGTGGTTTTGGGGCCACAAAGCGCCTGTCTTGCATGCCTTTTCCTATACACTTGATCTGTGGCCCATGGGGCTCTGGGGACCTCAGAACTTGCCCCTATACCTACTGCTCATTCACACAAGAAACACACACACATTCAGGCATCAACATGAGGGAATCAGCCATGTGTACCTTTTATTCCTCTGGGCCTCCTTCTTATCCATTATGACAGGCACACAGTTCGTGAGCTCGGTCCAGTCTGCATGCAGTCCGCAGCTCCAGCCGGTGGAGAACCGGGAGAAGAGCCAGGACTCCTCTTTCCCTGGCCGGTGACATGTGCATTTCTTCTGCCCTGGCTTGCAGTCGCACGGCTGCTCCAAGCGAATATTCCTCACCAAGTGTCTCCCGAAAGTGGTTCCTCCGGTCTTCTGGATGTGCAAAAACACTATCACGTCGTCCCCTTTGATGTTGAACTCCACGTGTCTGTCAAGGTCTCTCTCTGTGAAGTTGAATTTTGACGGCACTTTAGGAGGGCTGTCATCCTCCAGGTCTTGGTCTCTGTAGAAATCGTCGCTGTCCTGGTACGGGGTGGAAAGTAGGCTCACCCCCCTTAATTTCTCCCCAGCCTTAAAGTGGCACGAATTGCTGCCAGCGGGACATATGTACTGGTAACCTATCATAACAAAAAGGACAGCTAAAATAGGAACCAAGATGAGCTTACTGGATCTTTCATCCATCATATCGAGAGAGTGTCTTCATTCCATTACTGTGAAGAATAAGTTGCACCCATGGGTTTCTTCTTCTGCGGGGGATCAATAGCCTATTCCTCCATGCCTCAGGTAGACTAAAGGTGCCTGTTATTTAAGTGCCACATGTTGATCAGATAACACCCCCCGGAGACACGCGATCTGGGCAAAAAGGACAAGTCCACCTTTTTGGTTTATGAAACACTGCACGCCGTCTGCACTGCGCTGGAGATCCTGTCCGAAGTCAAGAGTCATGGCATTCCCATTCCCGGCTGTCCAACTTCTAAAGCCAGTGTAGGGATGCATCCGCGCCGACGACTCCCTCCGTGCTCCGGTGTCAAGTTGAAAATGAGGCAGCTGATGAGAGTTTGTAGTTTTACAGCTTCTTTGTGTTTTTTTTCACCCCCCTCCTCTCCCGTGCTGATCCCGGTCTAAATCGCAGCGCGGTTCATTCCGATGATGGACTTATTTCAGCAGAAATGTGTACACGGCTCGGACTGTCGGGGCTCGGTCCTCCGGCAGCATCCTCGGCGGTCTGACCGACTGTGCTGAAGCAGTGCTTTAGAGAGGATGAGAGGATGAGAGGATGCTGCTGCTGCTGCTGCTGCTGCTGCATCCGAGCTGACAAATATGCGATATGCTCTCGTCGTGGTTGGGCTGGGAGAGCTCTACATCCCATCCCGTCCATCCCATAATCTTGTTTAACACAGTGCAAAGCCAGAAGCCCACACTGAACTGAGACAACATGAAGATTTAGCCACATATAAATACCAAATCCGCTGTAACTTTTTTTTGAAGCCCATTCATCCGAGTGTGACCTTTGGTGATTAAAGAGATAGCACTGTCCCCCTGCTTACAGTCTATATTTGCCTGTGCAAGGGTAGGCCTTATTAATATACAACTTAATGTCTATCTGCTTAAAAGGCAGTACTGTAACCAATTAAAGAAAAGTGAAACAGCTGCTTAGTCTGCAGCAGTGGATATTGTCACACATCTACTGAAGCATGTAAAATATTGGTGCTTTGTCATGCGAGGAATTTACATAAAAAAGTTGAGTTGTGTGTGATTAAAATATTTAAATGTTGTAAATAAGTGTAGAATAATGTAGGCTATCTATCTATCTATCGATCTCTGATCAGTCATTTAATGTCACTAGTGGTCAACTAGAAGTTTTAATTTATGTGCAATGGAGAAAGCTTTCAATGAACCTGTAAAGTGAAACCAAAAAAACAAAATTGGGATTAAAGGAGCATCAGTTTACTGGTTATGGTAAGCACCACTCCGCCTGTGAAAACTGTAGGCTAGTATAATATCTTCTGT